GCACACCGACGCTTTCAAGAAAAATTTCCCGGTAGTTCCGAGTTAAAAACTTGTTTTACTTTTTTGCTGCTCGTCATTTTACCGCCTGACACGTGTTATTATTCGGCTAACTGTCTTCCACTTTAACTAAAGTGATTACCGAGACCGCTATGTTAAATCAGCTATCAAGATTCTTACCGGGACTCACTGGGGTTTGCAAAAAAATACGTAATTGTTAGTCCCTTGATCTAGTTTCATTGGATTGATCATTACCTGCTCTACTTATAACCCTCCTCCATCGCAATGAGGCTAGATCATACCGTGGTGCGATGGTTTGCGTGCTTCAGAAATCCATTGAGCTATGATGTGTGGTGCTTTTGCACCTTCAGAGTCACTCATACCAGATTGGTCAATGGTTAGCCAGACAAACTCAGCCTCCTGATCCTCCAGGTCGGGAGTTGGAATGAGGTGGCTTCTTATTCCTTAAAACGGACTCCTTGTAGCCCAACGCAAAACCCGCTGCCTTGCGGTCAAGTTTATGAACCAAAGGCTTTGGTTGGGAATCCTAATAGTTCTCCTGTCTAGGCCTGGGCAATCTGACAGTATCCTGCCCACGCAATAAAATGAAGTTCTCTTCAAACAGTTTCTTATTACAATAATACTTATAACCCCGTGAGTTCGTTCTAGTGTTTTTCGTTTCGTGTTTGCTGAACTTGCAGTTTTATCGTCGTGCTATCTGCTCCTGTTTACTATAGTGGTAAAGTACATGTTAGTATATGTTGTCGTCGTCCCGATCCCTTCCTCTCAACGCTTCCAAGTGCCGCGATGTAAATTTCTTTTCTCTGCACTGACAAACGTCTGACTGTGATAAACACTTCTCCCCCAACGGTCGTAAGCGACCATAATCTACCCCGTTCATCCACAGTTAAGTACCTTTGCATATATTTATCACACAATCTATCTTGGTCAACCCACGTTGACTAAACGTTCCGCAAGGTGCGGAAATTATCACTCTATGCCCTTAAACTAAAAATGCGTTTAGTACCCTGCACTTTAATTTACAAATTCGTGACTGCCTGTATTCTTCCCCATTCATTATATTAGTCGCCCGTCGTTTTTCTTCGTCTTTTACAAAAAGACTTCACATTGAGTGTGCGTTCCGTTAAGCCCATTTACAAGTGTAGCGGATTCTATAGAGTCTGGTTGGTTTCATCGTTACTAAGTACTTTAGTGCAGGTGACAAATTTTTAGCAAATGTTTTAAATGACCTTTTTCACCCATTTCACGAGGATTTATCTAAAACTCTCTCCTGCTCGTCTAGCCGCTCTAAATTTAGGGTTTTGTTTCCACGAACAACACGTAATCGCAACTCTAACTTACCGTATTTATAACGTTTTCTTGTGGACTCCAAGAAACTTATCAGCACCACGTGTGAACGCTTAGTTGAGTGATGTGCATGCATGTCCCTCTTTTACACTTTTATTGCAATTCCACGCTTACGTTATGTCTCACTACATCCGCAATGCTAGTGTAAAAATGCTGGAAACGTTCCAAGTCGGGTTCATAAAGCCTATTTTGACTTGGCTGGAAGCAGAGGCTCCCACGTCGTGCATGGCGGCCGAGATCCTATTTCACTGAAACTCAGTGTCAGTTGGGCGAGAGAGTGAAGATTAGGTACGCAGAACATTCTGGCAGGCTTGCCTGTCCGAGGATTATGACGAATTCTCAGCTGTCAATTGAGAGAGGCGCTTGGTACGCATCCCCGTAAATTTCATGGAGAAACGACAGCATACCAAAGTATGGTTCGGTGTCGAAGCACATATTACGGAACGAGCGGCGATCCAGAGCGGGACCACACTACCTGTAACTTAGGACAACGTGATCAATTTAGCTCTACCGCTGGCCAGCTATAAAGAGACAATAAGTGGCATCTCAGCACCCACTGTCTAAAAGCAATGCTACTATAAAACAGCCAGTGCTCCGCGCACAGTTGAAACAGACTCTCGCCGTTGTCTGTCCGGTCGGTGTTAGGCCCATAAGTACCACTTAGTTGATCATATGAATATTCTAAACGACCTACTTGCGCATTCATATTCCGCGCAACAACAACGATATCTGTGCCCGTAAGAGTGCGAAACAGGGTGTTCAGTTCGTGGCAAGTGTCATGGGCAGCATCGAAACTGCAGCCTGTGGAAGTATAAGCAGAAACTAAAAACAAGCAGCGGTTAGGACTTCTTTATGTATCAACCTTAGTTAATGTCGTTAAACGGACCTGCTCACGGGGACCCAATCAACCGACGATGAATCAGCCTTGGAGCTGAAAACAATGATAACACCAGCTAAACCGATGGTTGCCACAATAGCATCTCCGGATATGTGCAACCATTAGCAAGAGGACAAGCCGGGTGAAATTAATCCAACAACCTCGTGAGGGTCGTTGATCCTAGGTTCGGATGCGCAACACATGTCAATACCCAACGTGTTCACCGTCCGTGTCAGTGCAGCCTGTTGACCTATTCGTCTAAGAGTGAGAACGCTAAATGTCGCCAACGAAACGAGACAGCATGGCCTTATCAGGGACTGTTACCGATAGGCATTCTGTCGGTGGTGGGGATGAAAGCTGCAGATGATGTGATTACAGTGGCATTACGGCTGCTGTAATTTAAGCTGCGAATTATTGAAGGAAGGCTGGCAATGGAGTAAGAGAAAGTGGTGGAAAGGAAAGGCACCAGAAATAGCGTTTTCGCATATCCACCCTGCTGTATGCAGCATATAAGGCTACCCTTGATAATCTCCGCGAGGCAGATGCAACATATGATTGAAGTTTGAAGAAATATTCATGGTTGTATATGGGCTGTGATACTACGAAGGCACGCAGACCTAGACTGGAGGACGACCAGGGTGCTCAACCAAAGGCTTTGGTTCAGAAGCCTGTCTGTAAGGCGGTGAATGTGGCAACGATTCGGTCTTACACAAATGGACGCCATCCCATTTCAAACCCCATACCAAGATACTGAGGTTGTCTGACATATAACCTTTGACAAACCTGGTAGCTGTAGCTCTCAAGAGGCCCGGGGACACCGCCCACTATAACTCAATGGGTTGAGGAGGTATGCAAACCATCGCACAATGTGAATGCCCATTCCCATTGCGACCGACCGACGTACTGCTGATGCCACACACTTTCATAAGGAGCTGCTGCCGACAAGCGTGCAGTAGGTGTTGCGTGGAAATAACTGTAGTGGGTATGTCTACACTGACATAGCGGCTGCTGTCAGTAAAGCTGGGTATTATAGAACGAAGGTTAGCAATCAAAGTGGGGAGATTAAGAGCAGGTAGAAAACAAGGAAAAGGAAGGGAAGTGCCAGCAGTATCATGTTTTCACTTATTCACCTGCTGTATGTAGCAGATAAGGGAGACCCTGTAAAGCTGCGCGACGGCCGATGCAGGATGCACGTAGGCTGAGATACCGCCATGGCGTGTAGACCTAGACTGGAAGACGACCAAGGTTTTGAACCAAAATCTTTGGCACGAAAACCTGTACGCAAGACAGCGGATGTGGTAACGATGTGGCTTTACAGAAATGGAGGCCATCCTATTTCTAATCCCCGAACTGGACGACCAGGAGACTGTCTGACTTCCGACCATTGACCAACATTGTAGGGGCCGGAGGCCCCATCTAGTTTAGTCAGATGAGTTGAAGAGGTACGCAAATCGTCGCAACACGTAAGGTCCAGTCTCAGTGCGACGATTTGGCGGTGATTAGCTAGAACACATTCAGAAATCCAACTAGCTGGGCAGCTATATCAACGCCCATTGAATAAAAGATAAAGTGACAAACCCTTCAGCAAATGCTTGAGACGATTTTGCCCACCTTCCCCACATATGGCGCCGGTGCAACATCGTTCTCGGCGCCGTGCGTTCAACGCTACTATACGGCTGTGAAACCTAGCATATAAGAGGGACAGACATAAAGAGACTAGCTGCCTTCGACCACCCGTACCTCTGCAGTTTCGCTCATGCTTGGTGAGAACAACGAGAAAGTAATGAGCGTGCCCGGCGTTCTGTATCTGGTGCAGGAAAAGCAAGTGAACCACTCAGTGCCGTGATTTCCCGCACACCGTTTGCGCAACCGGAATTTGGGTGGAAGAGGAACAGAGTGGTCAACCGGTGACGTGGTCAAGAGGAATGAAGTCCCTTGCTTCGAAGTTGGTCTCAGTTGGAGACATCAGACTCTCTGGTTATAGTCCGAAGGACGATGGAGCCGTTTACTATGAGTCTCCTGTTTACATGGTGAGGAATCAAGCTCGGTGGCTTTTGTGTTGACTCCATTTGTCTCTCCGCCCCACTTATTCTCTATAACCACAATTTCACCGGCGATGCATAATCCTAAAAAGGCATAATATTACCTATTTTCTTATATTTTGTTCCGATTTAATCGTATTCTTTTCGAATATCTCACCGCATTGTGTTGCGACACAGTAAATGAGTTATTTCTCACCTACGTGAGAATCAGAATTAAGGGACGGATAGAGATGTATCACAGATGTCGTAAAAACGCGCAAGGCGAAGCGAAAAGGCATCTTTCCGTTACCCTAAGCGGTTGCCAGTTCTGTAAATACCCTATAGGAATATTAAAAATAGTCGTTGTCAAGAGAATCAATCGAAGCAACAACGATATCAGAAAGTCGGAGCTGGGATGAGGTGGTGAGTATTGCGAGAGTATATGAATTGGCACGAGGCGAAATAAGTGTAAAGGAAATGCACTCATTTAGAAATTTGCGCCGTTACAGATGACACAAAAACAGAATATCAGCCACATGGGTGGTTCGCATCGTTTGCTATAGATGCCCCGGATTTAATTGACAAACATCTCCTTTAGTCTGAAGAGACTGATTCAGATAACGACGTTGCACCACTGAAATGTCGCAAGAATTCTACGAAACTAATAACAAAATATTTTTTCTCAACAAACAAAAAGGTTATTCCAAAAAGACCAAGTACTAAAGAATGAGACCTACCACAAGAAGTACGTCCTTGTCTGTAAGTTCTTGTCGCATTACAAGATTGCTTTGAAAGGCGCAGGTAACGTGAAAAGCAACCTTGCACTTCTTGTTTGAGCACTGGATTGGAGCTCCATAACGAGAGCGACAGATGGAACACACAAGGTTGCGCCTGGCACGAGGTATTTCATCAACACGGATGACCGGCTCCATCAGTTCGACGCTTCCAAAGCCGACCTCCGGAACCCAAAGAGCACAACTGATGTGGCACCACTTGGTGTTATCTCTATGGTCCATATTAATTGATCAAAGGAATGCTAACTCGGTCATCTTCATAGCGCCACCAGTGTTCGGGCAGAGGGAACAAGGCGTCGTCGATTTTACTCCGACTTCACATTGGCGACAAATCCAGGCACCTTCCGGGAGTTTTGAAATACCATAGCAAGCTTGGTGCACACATACAAAGCAGCCATCACAAAACACCAGCTCATTTCCGTCCTCACCTTCATACTAAATAAAAATTAAAGACGAATGCATGAAACTCACGGACTGGCATACGTCGCACTTCGCATTCTCATCGAATTCCAGTGTTTGTGCTTCAAGTTCTTTTAATTTTTCGTGCATCTTCACGTAGGTCAAATGTTCCAGAGCTTCCATAACCACTTCAAGCATCCAATCCGTGATCAGAACCATATCAAGACATTCTCGTTCTTCGTTAACAGTCGAAATCCAGGCACAATCTAGGTTGTCAAGGTGGTACGCAGGTGCTTTTCGACTTATTGTAAGCGACGTCTGGCCACGAACACCCACAGAATGTACTGCCTGCTGGATTCTTAAAAGATTGGAGATTTTTTGATAAGCTTACTGTGTAGTGCGCATTGCATGCTCTAAGTTCTGACACGAGATCCTCCTGCAATTGATGTTTGAAATCAGTAACAAGCAAACCTGTAGACAGGCCGAGGAATTTCTCCCATAGGGCATACAGGAACTTGAACACCGTTTCGATGCCATTCCGAGCGCCAGTTATTCTCAATCAGTGTCAAGTACTCGCTTTTGGATGCCTCCGCCTCAGAGCTGAGCAGCATTTCAGTCAGTGGATGGGTGTCAAATAGCTAAAGATTTCAACAAAAGCAATTAACACTACCTCGGCAGGTTTTTCATTGGCATCGTCAGACGATAGGGTAGCCCAATGACTAAGATAATACGACGCCTCCCTCACTCGTGTCATTCTTGCAGTATAAGTTTGATCCACAATTCAGAATTATTGTATGCTCAATGAGCACAATAGGTCGTGACAGACCAGTTGGGCTGCAATTCAAAGCAAATAACACGTATGCGTCCGGATGTGTGTATAACTACCAGTTAATGAAAGGTTAAGTTCAAATTCAAAGGAGAACGGAGCAGCAGAAAATTCCCGTTCGGGTTTAGACTCCTCAGACAGAGACAACCTGAGCTGGCAGTGAGACCTGGCACAGTAGCTGACGACAGCGTTGAGTCAGGGTATTACTCCACGGTAATACCTGCAAGGTATTATGTGTAAATCCCATCATGGTTAAGTGGTTAGTGCGCGCGAGAGCCGCTAAGCATTTCTCGCTGCACCGACCACGTGAAATGATAAATAAAAAATGAGAAAAACATGTGGTAGTAATCAACAAGTGAGGGGAAGAATAATACAAGCAGGTAGAAATGGAATCAAGCATGTGAAAAGAAATTTTAGAATTTCAGAGCAAGAGCATCGAGTGGAAGCTCAAACCATTTTACGGTTTATGACGATACGATGTGCTCGAGCAGCAGATTCGACGAGTCTACAACTTTGCGCTATAATCAAGTGTCGGTCCACGCCCATCAGATCTTGGCCGGTGCGACTCCATCATACAACCGTGGAAAGCACGTAACCGATAACTGGAAACCCACTACGGCAAGACTAGGATTTAAGGTGGTGCGGTGTTTGGCATACCTTAACGATCCACTGAGCTGTACTAGGTGATGCTTTTTACATCTTCGGAGCCAAGCATACCAGATTAAATGGCTAGAGACCAGACAAACTGTCTCCTGTCTCTCTAGATGTGTAGTCAACATTAGCACAGCGTTTGAAAGTTCGCTGTTTCCGATTCAGTATACTAACCCAGGCCAATAATGCGGTTGAGGTGGTACGTGTGGCATAGCATTGTTGCATTTGGTCTGTACGTGTGCCTGCGTGTTGAGTTTCTTGTAGTTCAGTTGTTGGTTATTGATAGATATTCCCGGGGTGGTTGCAGGTCCGTAGCCTTAACGATCACATGTCAGCTTTGTAATCTGAGGGCGTGGGTTCGTGCCTGCGTTAGGACCAGGCGACGTACGCAATATCCTTAGCCCACGTGCGACTGGTGGTGATTGTGCGGCAAAAAGTGTCGTTACTGCTTACCAGCGTACTGTTGATGCTTTTGTGCTTGCGCTCGATGTGAATATTGACCAAGTGCCTACCTGTCTAGTACCTACCACCTCGTCATATAATGACTCCAGGATAGTGTGAAACGTTCCTTGGAAGACGGGGGCAGTGTCCTCGTGACCTTGATAGGCGCAAAGAGCGATTCCAAGCATACAGTGTGGAGCGGGCTACGGCCCGACCACCGCCTTGTGTACGTCTGATAAGTGTAATTCTCCAATCAGACTGATTTGGATGTAGCTGCTGTGCATGTTAAAGGAATGTAAGGCGGCTTAGTTGATGAAACGTGGCTCCCATCCACATGCCTCCCAATATTATTCCTTCAGGTTTGTGTTGCATATGGGGTGTATGCATGGAGCTGTGGGTGGTGCGGCGCAAGCCACCCATGGTCCCTCTGTAGGCGCAGGTGTCCTGTGGTTGACCCCATCCAGGCCACAGTGGCAGGAAACACCGGAAACAGGTGCGGCCAACCATGTCTGCGAATAGACATAGGATCACCGAAAGCCATGGAAATCAAAGAGAGATACAATTACCTTAAAAAGAAAACCAAATAGCCCACTAAGTCCAAAGTTTCGTCGGTTTGGGCAACCGCGTAATACCGTGCCCTCTGAGGAAACCATGAACTGGGCGGTTTGCGTATTTCCCATTCAGGCGAATGGTTTAGAGGTAGTTTTCCAGAACGTGGTGGGTTTAAGCTTGACAACGGTTTCCCCTATAAAAGCCACAAATGTCTGCGACATGGCGTGACTGGTCACTAAGTAATGTCACTGCCTTTGCCTTATTCACGGACACTGCATCCGCAAACAATCCAAACATCTGAACAAAACAATAAGAGGAGCACTGCAAGATGGTACCATTTCGTGTTAGCTGATCACCTGCAAACTAACAACATATATAGATCACGTAAGGAAAGGAAACGATCGTTTTGAATTGATCAGAAAAAAATGCACACAAACACGAAACAACAGCTGATAGCAATGGGACAAAGGTGTACAACTTGTCATCAGTACTCTTGGATAGAAAGCAACCGGAAGCGTTATCATTGGGCATGAACCACAAAATACCTCCAAAGAAGACATGTCGAAACCAGACAGCTGGTCGACATATCTGAATTGTCGGCTGATTGCGACGAACAAAAATACTCACAAAATCCTTCCATTCATAAGTAATGTCGAAACCATGTTGAGGCCCAATTCGAAAGCCTAATCGATCAACTGTCTAAAATAAACCCAACGACCCAAGAATACTACAAATGGCTTAAAGTTAAGCTTGTGGACATCGCGCAGGTCACATGATGGCTTCGATTCAATAACCCTGTTGTCTAGATAACAGTCACATTAAAGCCTTCTATGAGCTGAAGGCCAGAGATGTGTTAGTGTTAAAAGCAGACAAGGGTACAGGAGTTGTTATGGATAAGTCAGACTATGAAAACAAGATGTATGATATCGTGAAGGATGAATCCAAATTTTAGGAGGACAAAAGCGAAACTACGGTAACGCAAGTTTAAAAGATGGTGACCAGGCAACCAAAATTGTTACTTCAGTACGGTATGAAATCAGAAACAGTGCACAATTCCCTTAAGCCCATGGGTGCATGTACGCCTCAAATGTACGGTCTTCCAAAGAGCCACAAGGCTCACACCATTAAGTCCGATACTCTCCATGTGCAACTCCTAGTACCACAAGTTGACACGTTGGCTAGTTGACATGCTTACACCAGTAAGACAAATAATAACGGATTACATCGTGAAAGACACTTTCGGTCTGAGTGATTGTGTGCGTGATGTGAATACTGCCGACAAGGTTATGTGCTCTATGGACGTAGAGTCTTTGTTCACCAACATCCCAATGAAAGAAACAGTGGATTTCTTGTGCGAGTTCATCACGAATAAAAAAAAGTTGTCTTGCGAATTAGAGTGGAATATTTCGGGGATTTATTGCTGTTATGTACAGAAAATGTGCACTTCTTATTTAATGGGCAAGTTTATCGACAGGTAGATGGTGTGGCCATGGGAAGTCCGCTTGGCCCGGTACTGGCTGATATATTTATGGCAATGGTCGAATCGAGGTGTGAATGCGACCTAAAACAGATGTGCCTATACAGGCGATTTATGTATGACACCTTGGTGATTGCCCCAAGTGTAGAGACTGTTCAGTCTCTTCTCAGTGTCCTCAACAATGCACAGCCCAACGCCCGTTTCACGTGTGGTATTGCTTTTCTGGATGTATTGTTGACAAGACGAGACGATGGCTCAATAAAACGCTCAGTGTACAGGAAAACTACATGGACAGACCTATATGAGAACTTCAATAGCTTTGCGACGGTCCAATACAAACGTTGCCTCGTCAAGACGTTGCTCGATCGAGCTCGTAGAATATGCAATCCTGACTGTGTGGAGTCGGAATTATCGTTCATCACACAGATATTACGGGCCAATGGATATCCAGAGGCATTCATCAGATTTCAGTCACTCGAAGGAAAACAAACCAAGAGTACTTACTGTGCCCAAAATGCCCGTCTATTTACAGCTACCCTTCAAATGTAATATGGTGACGGCGCAAAGTGGACGACGGGTGAACACAGCTATCCGCCGTACATTCAACGCTGACAAACTGTGTCCTATCTGGACAAGTAAAAAGCTGTCGATGCCCCAACCAAACCTACAACTCATTGCATTTACCAATTCGTCTGTACCTGCGAAAGCAGTTACACTGGCAGAACAGATCGTTGTCTGAGTAAGCGGAATGGAGATCACATTCCAAAGCGAATCGCTGAGCTGATGGCACAACAAGCAACCGTACAAGGAGCAGCAGGCAAGCAGCCAGCATCATCTAGCGCTAGACACCTCCTAACCAGTGCGGGTCATCAAGTTGACCCTGGGTCAACTTCTACGGTTATCTACCGAAACGAAAACGCCAGGGTGCTGAAGTTTGCCGAGGCTGTGTCCCTAAATCGTTAGTGTCCCACCCTTAGTGTACAAAAGCAATTGACAGTAGACCTTAGGCTTCCTTGGGGTTCATGATCTTTGTCCCAGAACTACCAGCTATTGTTTCGTGTTTCGAAATGGTGCTATCTTGCAGTGCCCGTCTTTTTATTGTTTTGTTCAGATTGATACAGGGAACTGGATGCTATAAATCTTAGCATCGGATTCTGCCTTGGACTTCGGGAGTGTTGTGTACCCGGTGGGGATTTTCGTCATCGGATAGGCGTATGAGTCAAAAGTTCAGTCACAGGCCCCATTATTTCACTCTGCTGCCTTGGATGTTAGGCCCTTTGGCGAAAGACTCAGGGCAGTGGTCCCCTAACACAAGCCAGCTACTTCGACCTAGACAACCGGATAGTATCTCGTCTACTGATGAATTATCGATTTTCACAACTACGTTCACTCCCCTTCGCTCTAATGAACAGCCATCGCTCTGCTGCAACACCAACTCAAGCCACCAATTTACCAACCATACACTGGTATCATTTAACCCCATTGCCTCCAAACTCCTTATCTGCACCATACTTGACGACTTACTGGTGCGCATGAGAATCGGATCATGGAAAGCCAGGCTGGCTTCCGCCCTGGTCGTGGTTGTACCGACCACATATTTACTCTTCGCCAAGTGTTAGAGCAGGTGCACACATACCGGCGACCGACAGTGTAGGTTTTCCATGATTTGAAAGCCACCTTCGACTCTTGACCGCGCCAGCTTGTGACACTGCCTATCCATGAAGGGCGTGCCAGTTAAATCCCTTTCCATGTTGCGGTCTCTACCGTGGCTCCCGAAGCAGTGTAAGTCTACGGGACACTGTCTCCTCAGTCCCCTACGACAAGTAGGGTAGGCTATGTTTTTCCATCTCTTTTTCTCTTCTGCTTTGTGATCGAAATGATCATGAATGAACCGGTTATTTCATACTCCACCGGAGTGAAATTCTGCTAGATGACCGACTAACAAACTTTGAGTAAGTGGACGACATAGCTGCCCTTGAATGCGACACTATACAAACGCTAACGCGTTGCGCTGCATGCTTCCGCATATGTTTCGCACCTTCCAAATGCAAAGTACAATTGCAGGACTGGACCGACACACTTCCGGTTCTAGCTATCAACGAACAGTCACAGGAAGTGGTGGGTCGGTTCACTTACTTTGGTGACTGTGTCACCTCTGGTGCTCACATCAGGTACCAGTAAACACCGTATGGCTTTTCAGAGATTCGATTATTATGTAGATAGCTCAATATCAACTTTCTAGTGAAAGGCAGGGGGTATAACGCTGCCATAAGGCCAGTGTTACTGTATGGACGAGACACCTGGCCAGTTTGCGGTGAAGATATCAAACGCTGGGCCGTGTTAGACCCCCGGTGCTTGCGGAGTATTACTCACGTCTGGTGGGAACACCGGGTGAGCAATGTTGAGGCCCGCTAGTTTGTTTTCGGCAAGATGCCTTCTAGTTCCTCATTCGAGTGCTAGCTGAATCTTAATCGCCTACGTTGGCTACGCCATGTCCACCGTATGCCCGTTGACCGGCTTCCTCGGCGTGCATTATATGCCGCGACCATACCAAGTTGGGCGAAATCGCGATGTGGTCAGTTCATGACGTGGCATAGAAACATGAAAAAATTGACTGAGAGACTTTGTCAGGCTGGTAAATGCCGTGTTTGTGAATGGGATTCTCGAGATGGTCCACACCAATGGTTGGAGACCATGGACATAGTGCAGTCACGCAGTCAGTGGCGTCCCTGTATTCGGTTTATTGCATCTGGCTGTTACGTTCGCAAAGAGACGGGACGTCAACGTGGTGCGACGGTTTGCGAACCTCGTCGACCCATTGAACTTTACTGAGTGGGGCCCTTGGGCCCGTTGTGAGTTACTCCTACCAGGTTGGTTAATTGTTAGATATCCGACAATCTCAGTATTCTGGTCCTCCAGGTTGGGGGCCAGAAATTGGATGGCGTCCATTTCTGTAAGACCGAATCGTTACCACATTCGCTGCCTTGCAGACAAGCTTCGAACCAAAACCTTTGGTTGATCACCTTAGTCGTCCTCCTGTATAGGTCTTGGCGCCTTGGTAGTATAACAGCCCGCGTGCAACCATGACTATTTCTTCAAACTTCAATCATATCCTGCATTTGCCTTAGCCCAGATTATCAAGGGTCGTCTTATCTGCTGTATACATCAAGGTGGATAAGCGAAAACGTGCTACTGGTGGTGCCTTTCCTTTTTATCACTTTCTCTTACTCCCCTCCCAATCTTCATTGCTAGCCTTCCTTCAATAATTCGCAACAGCAACCGTAATGCCGCTGTAGTCATACCACCTGGAGCTACCTCTCAGTACCACCCACTGGGTGCCACTCGCCAAGAGCTCCTTGTAAGGCCACACTGTCCCATCTCCCTAGCGGCATTCAAGGTTCGCACTAGTTAACAGGCGGCATCCACACACACGTTGGGCGCATGGGATATTGACGTGTGTATCAGAAACTAGGATCTTTGTCCTGGTCAAAAGCAAGCGAGTTGCTCGCAGGTGCCAAAGGTTCGGAGCTCAGTTCCAATTTCATGAAAGCTGATAAGCCGAGCGGACGTAACAGATAGAAGAGGTAGATGAAAGACCAATCAGCGTAAGCTCCGAATGAACCGACGGGAATGAGTTCGGATTGTGAACAAAGCACGTCCTTATTCCACCTAAGCGAGAAATGGTCCAAATATCTGAGAAGAAATGATGGACGCCAGTCAATGAACTCAGACAAGTGGCCGGAAAGAAGCGACCATCAAAAATGCGTCTCAGTGAACAGTAACGCAAGGTGTAAAATACTCCTGTGCTCTTCAATGACAGATTTGTGATCCCCGTCCAGATTGTCTTCTTGACTCACGGAGAACTATACATGGTCAGCTGTTTGTGACGGTATGTTGTCGACAAAGTGCAGACGCCTGGACTCTGAAGATTTCTTTATGGCATTAAGTTTTTACGCTAGGCCCCCCATGTCCATCAGTTATTATTCTGTCCCCTACATCACCACGTGTGTATGGCAGCAAAGTATCAGTTTATCTGGCCTATGTACTTTTTTTGTGAACAACGATGATGATGATCACGGTAATGTAATTCCCGAATCGGTATTAACCTGTGGAGTTGGATAGATGTTAAAAATTTGGAAACGATGGATATTAGGCTGATTCCCCTATTGTTTGCGCGCAAGATGCAGGCACTCCTTCTGAAGATCGGTACGATCATCAGAGGGTAGAGGTATGGCTTAAGGTAAACTGTCGCTGCCTTTCAACACCGCCAGCGGTGTGAGACAAGGATGCCCGCTGTCACCTTCCCTTCTTAACTTCGCCACCAACAAAATCATGAAAACTAAATTTGCTGGACACGAAATAGTGCGTCGCTACCATTAGGTGATCGACTTCTTGACTTGGAGTATGCCAGTGATACTGCCCTAAGGTGTGACATTTCAAGAACGTGCCAAGCAGCATTGGACAGATTAGCGTTGAATGTCAACCCTTTTTGAGCCGTGCTATGCACCGTCAAAATGCCGAGATTGATTCCAAGACTGGTAGAGTCCAATACTGCACTAATTATTGATGGGGATTCGCTAAAAGTCGTTCAAAAATGTGCTGCTGGATGACTGCTGCCGTAGTTGAGGATCTGGTCCGTATGCGTAGATTTTCAGTAGACTGGTGCTTCCAGTCTTCAGCACCAGTCCGTCTTATGAGAACGTCTAAGAATTGAAACTGCTCGTTCTTCTCCTCCTCCCAGTTGAATTGGATGCCATCGAACATACTGTTGGTTAGTTCGTATGTTTTCTCCAATTTGGAACGCTTAAGGACGGCGGTGTCGTCTACGTATCATGCCCAAAGTTTTGGTCTCGCGATCGGAAGTGCTATTTTTTTCGCCTAGCAAGCTTTCTCCCTAAAAAAGCCACAAACGTCTGTTTAGCAACACTGCGACGTGGCAGATGTGACTCGCCACTAAATAAAGTCACTGCCCCTTGCCCCTCCCTGAGAGGCATTGGGCCCCTGATCCTTCACGGACCGAAAGGCGTATGAACCATCTATTTGGTCACCGGCTCCCAACGGGTCGCGACGACCTCACATCGCCCTGCTGCTTTGTAGGTTAGATCTTTGATCAAAGGCTCGGGGTAGGGCCCCCTAAGACAACCCTCTACTTCGGCCTGGGCAACAGCGTAGTATCACGCTCACTGATGAATCATGGAGCACACTGCTTACTACTGCTCCTGCTATGCCTATCTTCTATGCTATCTCAATTGCTCAATCTCCATTGACAGATCACCCCACCTCCCGTCCTTGACCTATATGTACTCTTATGTCTTCTTCGGTCACCGTCACAAACGACCCACGTCTCACAACTGATGGAAGCAACAGCCAAACTCTCGGTTTTTAATGTCATGTGATCGCAACCGCCTCTCACTCCACTGAAGCTCCAGCTCTTCTTCGACCTGGTTCTCCATTCATCCTCGCAGCGTTTAATGTTCGAACTTTGATGCGGATTGGACGACAAGTATGTCTGGCCCGTACTCTTGAAACGCTTGCGGTAGACATCTGTTGCCTTTCAGAGATCAGATTCCAAGACTATAACGCCGTCATCAAAATGGCCTCTCCGTTAAACCCTGACACCAAATACCACTTCCGGCTTTCCGGAGACCCAGAAGTTGCCGTCTATGGCCAAGCTGGGGTTGGGGTTGCACTGAGTGCCAGGGCTGAATCAACTCTGCGCAGTCCGATTAAGAGGTTCATGTAAACAGGCGTCGAGACGTTAAGCGTACCATGTTTGTCGTCTCCGTCCATGCCCCCACAGACTGCAGCCCGGATGCAGTTAAAGATAGCTTTAAACAGCAGCTACATGAACTTCTGAGTTCCTCCAAAAGGACGGATATAGTCATTCTTGCCGGGGACTTCAACGCACGGGTTGTCCGCCTTCCACAAAGCGAGCACCACCTTGAGGGTAATTTTGGTCTCGGTAGCAGCCGATCAGACAATGGAGACAGACTGCTTGCTCTTTGCTCTGATCATCGCTTGTTTCTTTCGAGCACTAGTTTTTGGCACTCGAAGAGATACACTGCTACCCGGTGCCCGCCCTCACAAACGAAAGAGTGCTCCCAGCTTGACCACATAGCAATCAGCGAAGATGGCGCGGAAGAGTAACGAACTACCGATCGTACTGGTCAACTTATCTAGACTCCGATCACGCATTGGTTCGTGCTAAGATTTGCATGCGTTTCAGAGGATCACCTAAACGCGCTCACTACCGACCGGACGTCGCAAATCTACAAAACCCTGCGATCTTAACCAGGTACCAAGCCTCATTGTCAACCTTGCTTGCCTCAACTATCGACAGTGATCTCGATGCGCAGTGGGCGCAGACTAAAAAAGCTTTAGTTTCCGCCAGTATCGGCACTTGTGCAGTTGCCCATCACCCACCGAAGCATTGGATTTCCGCCGTCTCCTTGTCGCTGATGGACAAACGCCGCTGGATCCCGTCGGATTCCAGACACAGTGAAGAACCCCAATCCCTTGGCCGAGAGTTGCGCAGGAGTCTGCAAATGGACTGCGAAGCTTGGTGGTGTGAACGTGTTAGGGAGATGGAGCGTGATAGTTTTTCTGGTAATACCAGAAAACTTTTCCATCTCATTCGAGTCACCGAAGGTGTTCGATCTGGTATAAGTGAAACAATATGCGAAGAGGATGGCACCTTAATCACCAATCTTCAACGACGGTTGGAGCGATGGGCCGAACATTTTGGCTCGCAGTTTTGTTGGCCGCCAGCTCCATCTGCTACCTCTGACGCTCGCGCTGGGACCGAGTGGTCTAGTCCCACAGATTCTCCCTCTTACCAGGAACTCGAGCAGGAGCCCCGGCACATGAAGCGTTATAAAGCCCCCGACCCCGATGGTCTTCCTCCAGCTCTATTTAAAGGTGGTGGCGCTTCGCTGGTTCGAGAACTCACCACTTTGTTCCCGAAAATTTGGTCGAAACAGAAGGTTCCATCATCTTGGAGGGAATCGATAGTCGTCCCCATCTTCAAAAAGAGCCTGCGCACAATCTGCTCCAAGTACAGAGGCATAAGCTTAGTCCCTGTCGTTTGCCAGCTGCTGGTGTCCATGATACTTCGCAGGCTATCCCCATCGCGCGAATCGTTGCAACGAGAAGAACAAACTGGGTTTCGCCCTGGTCGCGGCTGCATCGATCAAATCTTCACACTCCGCCAGGTCCTCGAGCTCTGCCATGTGTATCAGAGGCCAACGATTGCTGTGTTCCTGGATATCCGTGCAGCTTTGGATTCTGTCGATCGTACGGTACTGTGGCACTGTCTACTGAGGAATGGTGTCCCCGAGAAGTTCGTCTCCATACTGCGCGCTCTCTATAGCCTGACCTCGGGCAGGGTTAGCGCTTATGGCAAGCTTTCGCCTACCTTTGTGGTCTCCAGTGGAGTTCGACAAGGATGCCTTATCTCTCCGTTCTTATTCAACGTTGCCATTGAGGATGTCCTGAAGAACGCTCTGGGCGATTCGTTAAACACTGGCGTTGAGCTCCTCCCAGGTAGTCAAGTTGATGGTTTGGATTATGCTGATGATATCGTCTTGCTGGATGAGGATGTACACGTAGTCCAACTTGCACTAAACCGCTTGGCGATTGATGCATCAAAGTATGGTATGTACTTTTCGCCATCCAAATGCAAGGCTCTCTTCCAAGACTGGCAGGTGCTTCTGCCTGCACTCACTCCTAATAGTGAGACACTAGAGGTTATGGAGAGCTTTGTCTACTTGGGTAGTTGCATCACTGCTGGCGGGGCTGTTGGAGACGAGATTTTGATGCGCATCTTGAGATCACGCCTCGCTTTTTCTAGGCCGAGGCACTTGTGGCGTCGCCACGACATTCGTCTCTCCATCAAAGGGCGGGTCTATTGTGCAACTGTTCGTGCTGTACTCTTGTACGTATGTGACCTT